AAGTACAATAGTACAGTACAACAGCTGGCATACAGGGGCTGGCATCAAGTGAACAGGCAAGAAGAGTTACTGACTGGAGGAGGGAGAGGAGGTGGGAGATGGTAGAGCTGAAGGATTGTCAGCAATAGAAGACAGAGGGCAAGCTGCAATTTCACGTGAACTAACTTACGTGATTGGACATGCGAATGCACAGTCACATCTTTGAAAGTTCGCAACTTGAAGGTTCATATGTAGGAGACTTACTGTAAGATGAAAGGTATTAAACTAGAAATAAAATTTAAAACTAAGAAAAGCAAGAGAGTTGGTGAATGAATTGGTATGTAGTTCCATTTACCTTGTATACTCTGCCATCTTTGCCACCTCCCCAGGTATGTGCTTGATATGACCTGCCAATCTAGAGGCCAGCTGAGGAAGGAATGATGGTTGCCAGGACTGAGCACAGGCTGTTTGTCCACACACAAAGGTTTCAAGCTCATTGCATTTGTAGTAATAGTTCACAGAAAGGTTATTTCTGCACAGCCTCTCCTGCCTTCAGCTTTTAGTTGAACAGCTCAGCCACTTGTGGTGTGATCCTAGGAGATGCTGAAATTTCAAGAGAGCTTAGAGGAGGACTATGATTTACCTAAAATTATCAGAGTTTATGTGGAAGATGCCAAAGCACCTCTAATTGGCAAATTTCCTTCCTCTCTCTTTCCTTCCCTCAATCCTTCCTTTCCTCTCTGATTTGTTTGGTCTTCTGGTGCCTTTGTATCCATTACTAAACTAGTTAACTCTTCAGGAGAGACCAGTTGGTAGCTCAGAATCATCTTTATCTTCCCAGTGAAGAAGACAGAGGAAAGCAGAGAGACTTGCCCCCAGGTCACTGGACAGTCTGGTGGAATCCAGTCCTACTTCCTCTTACCCAGTCTTGGTTAGAAATCACCATCTTTACCATTTTTAACAATTTATTCTTACCAAGTGTCATCACAGGCTATCATGTCCAAATCTAAATGATGTATTGAGCCCTTTACTACAGGCAGCCACTATCAGAGAATCAAAGCTCTGTAACAGGCCGGAGTTTTTCAAATAACCACAGATTGTTGACATTGAATGTTTTCTTTGAAGCTTCACATTTATGAAGGGTAAGTGCAACAAGCTAATTGTCCAGGGTTACCCATGAAAAAGGCTCAGGTATTTATCAACTCATACCTATGGTTAAATTATCCCCTCTCTTAAAAAGGAATACTAAATTCTGGAGGACCAAAGTTCTTATTTCCATAGTGCAATATAAATGTGGGTTTATGTTTGCAAATAAAGTTGCTGAAACTTCACAGTATAATATGGGAATTCCTTTGGCATCCAAGTGTGAATCTGACTCAGATTGAAATTATTAAAAAGACACTGTAATGGGGGGAAGGAAGGGACTGGGGAAGGTCTGGGGAAGGAAGGGACTCTTATTTGGGCCAGAGATAGAGGCAATGTCCAGGGCCGTATTTGAGAATTTTAGAGGGTCTCTGCTGTATCTGTTAACTTCTCTGATTCTCCTAGAGAGCTCATCTATGGCTGTGGCTCCATTCATTACTTAAAAACTGAAGAAAACAACCGGGTCAACATTTTCTGTCTCAGTTTTTCTCTGTGCTGACTTCTCACATCTCCAAGTACCTGTTGCATATTTTCTCTTTGATATTCTCTGGGTCTTTGATATCTCAAAGAGAATAATTTATCTCCTTTGACAAACCTAAAACCCAGTCTGACTAGCCTACGTGTCCTTGGCACCAATGTTTTCAAAGACATTCTCTCTCATTAGCTCGTGGTCATCATTGTTTCCCTTCCTGTCTCTCTTATGCTCTACAGAAGCTTTATTTTATTAGTTCTTTTTTCACAGGCTCTCACTTTTACTTTTTCCGTGATCTCCCTTACTTGGACCCAGATTTCTTCTTGCCTGCACTGTTGAGATAAGATAACCTTGTCACACTGGTTTCCTGCCTGGAACTTTCCCTGCTCCAGTCTAATTCATAGCCCACAGGAATAGCCTGAGACCAACTGAGAATGATTGAATCCAGCTTGTTAGGTTAAAATTGGGGCCAAAAATAGGCTCTAAAAAGCTTAAACAAAAGTTTTTACTGGAATTCCTCCCCGACATGTCACATGAAGGAGGAATTGGACTGTTCCCGGGTCCAAGAAAACAGCCATTGAGTGAACAGTAAGAGGGAGCCAATTTTAGACCCATGGTAGAGGAGCCTTCCCTGGATCCGAGCTATGGTACAGTGGAACAGTACTAGTAGTGTATGAGAGTGGGTTCCCTGTCCTAGGTAATCACTTCTCAGGGATGTTGTCACAGGCTTACCTACTTCAGACCACATAACCACTAAGGTCTTTTCAAACTCCAGATTTTTGCAACATAATCACAGCCCTCTCCATCTCTCTCTTTCTCTCTCTCTCTCTCTCTCTGCCTCCCACCTACTGGAAATCCAGAGTCCATTTTTGCTCCTCCATAATTCCCTAATTCCAAATCCTATGGTGGATGAACATACTGTCTTTCTCCAGACAGATGTTCGCCTGCTCACCCCATCCCATGGCTTTTCAGTCTAGGTTGCTGCCACCTTGGGTACTTAAGTAACCTGGAGGGTAGTTTTGGTTATTGAATACCTTTTATGTGCCAGGTTCTGTGCCCAGAATTTCTTCTCATTTTTATTGGTACAGTAACCCTGTGAAAATACTGTAGGGTTGAGATTCTTTTTAAACTGATTTTAAAGAAGGGAAAACCCAGTATCATATAGGTGGTATGTGGCAAAGCTGGGACTGAACCAAGGTTTTCTAACTCCAAGTTTCGTGTACTTGAGAAAAGAGACCAAAGGAAGGAGGGGAAGAGTGGAGGTCCCTCAACCCTGGGCTGTGGATTTTGTGGGATAGGAAGCATGTTCACAGGGAATCCTACATATTGAAAAAGTACATCTGGCACTTTTATCTCAATGAGCATTAAACTATATGTGTTGCCAGCAAAATTTATAAACTCTGCTGTTTAAAATAGTTACCGAAAGCTAACAAAGAAAAAAGAGGAAACTATAATATATTTGACTAGAACATAAAAGAACACTAATTACAGTACATTTTTATCATATGCATAATCATCATGTAATATTGTACAAATGTTCATGTCCTTCAATGTGTGTTACATTAACATTTCATGAATTATTTTTAATTTGAGCACTACAGTGTTTTAATATGCCTAGCTTTCAGGTAGTATACTATCTAATCACAACTTAAAAAAAATTGGAGGTGTTGACAGTAGAGCACTAATAGAAAGAGGTTTGTGAGGTAATGGACATGGACATTACCAGCTCTGTGTGTTGCACATAATAAATGTTTATTGGATCTAAGTCTAGCATCTGTACCAGGAATGAGGTGAAAAGTCATGTCATTGGTTTGTTTTATTCCCTAATATAAGTAACCACCCAGATTTTCAAAAGCATGTACCCTTTGACACAATCATCTCACTTTTAGAATTCTATACTCACAGTCAGGCCCCTATTGTTTATGACCCCATCTTTGTGAGCTGAAAATTAGAGAAATCAGAAAAGAACTAACAGTTGTTGAGTGCCTACTATATGCCAGACACTTTAGGTTTATCTGCTTGATCTTCAAACAATCCTGAGTAGTAGATACGTTGCCTCTCTCTTAAGAATAAGAAAACTGAGGCCCATAAAGGCCAAGCATCTTGCCCAAGATCACATAGGTAGTAAATACCTGCCTTGGAATTTGATCTCATATATCTCTGGCTCCAAAACCCATACTCTTCCCAATATACAAATGATTTAAACATTGGATTCTGTGGAAATGTGTGAGGTGGTGAGGGAGGCCAAGGGAAAGGCTGAGTGGGAGGAACTCATCTCCCACCCTCACTTCAACCAGAGCACCTGGTCGAAAGTGCAATTACAAAAGAATTTTAACCATTCCACTACATCACATATTAGTATGGGAATTTAACATTAAAAGGAATTTTTTAGTACTAGAATTAGAATTATAGTTATATAATACGTACTGAGAGGTTGGTGTCTTACTAAAAATGACATAATCTATCATTATCCATCAGCCAAGGAGACCTAAGTGGATTGGAAAAGGCACCCAGGAGTCATAAGCATTGATTTTAATTAAATCGATTTAATTTGGAATTTTGCAAAGATGAGTGTTGGGAGGTTTGAGATAATGGTCACCTAATCCTAGGCTTAGCCTTCAGAGTAAAGATTCACACCGAGAGTCCCCACAAAGCCAGATGGACCTGTTTTGGTTACATGTTAACAATGTAGTATCAGCACAACTTGATGTTTCACTTAAGCTACCTAACAAAACTGGAGACACCACCACACTGATGTGTGCCAAACTTGTTGCTATTTTAGGAGAGGGCACCTGAACTTTAATCTGTCTGACTTATTTATTTGTTTATTCATTTATCCGTTCATTTATTCTGGAGGTGGAAGGAGGTTGACTACAAGGTATTTTGCCCAGGGAAGTGAACTGGAGATGAGCTCTTTGAGACCTGCTCACTGCACTAAATCAGATTTTTGTGGTTGGTGTTTTCTTATTTAAAGGTGTGGAAACCTTTCAAAATGTTTGAGTAGTCTTTCAAACCTCTCACATACCTTTATTACTTTAAGGTGGGGGTAGGGATGGTATGGGAGGGGTGTTAAATTACTTTCCCTAGGGGGAAAACAACTAAGCTTTTCCCCATTACCCAATTGTGTTACAGAGTCCTGTCAGTTCCTATAGAGCAATAAATGCAGTTTCAATGGATAAAGGCTGAAAAAAATCACAATATTAGCCCACAAATGGAGGTGAAAATGAAGAGGTTAAAAAGTATATTATTTGTTTGAAAAGTACCCAGGATCAAAACTTCTTAGAATGTAAGAGCCCAAGTGAACCCCAGGCTCTTTCCTCAGGCAACAGAGACCTCTGGCTAGAGAAATGTATTTGTAGTCTCCTGCTCGAGATTTTCTCTGATTCTTATTTTATTTTTATTCCAGTTGCTACATTGATGGCCGGGTGGTCAAGGTGATGGACTTCCTGAAAACTCGCCTATTAGACACACTCTCTGACCAGATTAGGAAAATTCAGAAAGTGAGTAAAAATCTCTGGGGAAGAAGAGGAGTGAGTTTGGGGGTAAGGCGAGGAAAATGTTACAGGGTTCCAGCTGGATATTAGCACTGTGGGTAGAAAAATAGTGCAGTCTGGATTTGCATGGCCAAGAGGTACCTCTCACAGCTGATGATTGCCGTTTATTGCTTTTCAGATTAAGAAGGGTTTGAATATACCATATCCAAGTTTAAAAGCTTCTCTATTTTAATAACAAACATTTTGGAACAGTTGACTTCTAAATTGTGAGTGTCTTAAGGGAAGAATAGGTTTACTTTCTTTTTGCAGGAGTTTATTTTGGGTTAGTTTAAGGAGAGAATGATTACATTCATTCAGTGGAATTGTGGTCTGGTGTATTGGCAATTCTGAGCCACATTTACACTATTCCTAGGTGTCTTAGAATCAGCCAAGTAACATCTTACTTTTGTAGAGATGTTGGGGAAGATAAGGTTAAATTAAGCACTTGTATGTAGGTCCTACTGGCACGACACCTGTGGTTGGTAGTTCTCAAACTTGCATACAATCAAAATCACCAGAGATTGCTTGTAGTTTCCAATCTCACTTCTGATGTTCTGATTTAGTATGTCTGGAGTGGATCCCAGACATCTCTATTTTTAATAGTCATCTGTCAAATGATTCCACCCAATGCAGATCACGTTTTGAAATACACTAGATTAGTAAATTCTGAACTGTGAGGATCTTATGTCTACAGTTTCCATCTGCCTCTACAAAATGGTGATATCTCATCTTTAGTTTCCTAGTCAGGTCCTTTTCCAGGGAATGAGGACCTTTTGAACATTCAACTTTCTTTTGAGCAAATTAAACACATCTTTGCAGAAAAATAGCAACAGGTAGGCCCCCATTAATATGGGATGAATGAGGGGAGTTCCCCGGTGGTCCAGTGGTTAGGACTGCATGCTTTCACTGCCAAGGGCATGGGTTCAATCCCCGGTCCGGAAACTAAGATCCTGCAAGCTGTGAGGTGTGGCCAAAAACACAAAATATATATGAGATGAATGAATAAATGAATGGGCAAATAAATGAATGGCTCATTATAAAATTAGTTGTGAAAAAAAATATTATTTGGAGCAATCACAGAAAAGCACTTTTGATTGCTAAGGGGGAGGTCTGTATACTTTTCTGTATTCATACCAATGCCATACTCAGATTACAAAATAGCTTTTGGAGTCTTTAGAGGCTGGGGGGCCTCAGGACTTCTGAATTTCTGCATCCCAGTCTGATCCCTCTGAGGATCAGGTGCACTGACCAGCACCCTTATCTATCACTGTCTTCTAGTAGGCAAAGCCTAGGAGAACTAAATGATTTGAAATATCTCTGTCAGTCTCTTTGACATTCACTTAGTTTTTAATATTTAATATTTACTGAGCTTTTAGCAAGTAACAGGCAAAGTGCCAGGTGCTGAGGATACAAAATGTAATAAGACATGGTCTCTGCCCTCAAGGAACTCACAGTTTTAAGGTTTAATACTTACTTTGAGCAGGTTGAAAAACATATTACCTAATGGAGTAGAATGTCAGCCTGTTGAACACTACAGTTTTCTAAGCACATTATGCTAATCCAATATTAGTTATTGGCCTCTAAAAAGAGGGGAGGAAATTTCTTTCCTCCATTCATTCTTTCATTCAGTAGATATTTATTGAGTGTTTACTGTGTTCCAGGCACTATACTAAGTTTCTGTATTACAACAGTGTACAAGACAACAAGTCCTTATATTTTTGGCTTTTCCAGTTTTGAGCCTAATGATCTGATCAAAGGATTGTCATTGGAAGTAAAATGATTCAGTGGTATCATGGCACTGTGAGTGAAGGTTGTAACTGTGTTCATGTAATTCTTTAAGTAGAATAGGTAGCTCTAGGTCAAAGCCAAGACAAATGGATTAGGAGTTAGGTTCTTCCCTTTCTCCCCACTACCCAGTACTCTCCACCACTGCATACACCTTCACCATCACAGAATGTTCAGAGACTGAAATAAGTGGCTAAACTCACCTCCTGAATTGGGCAGGCAAGGCCAAAGAAACTTAGAGTAAAGGGCTCAAACCCTGTGCTCAATTGAAATTCAGACCTTTAAAAACATGTTTGATGGACTTGGAAGGGGAGAGCTAAGTGCGGTTGCAGGGGGGAGCAGTGGAGTCTCCAAGAGAAATAACCTATATACAGAAGGCACCTGGCAGGGGATGGCTACAATTAGCAGTAGGACCTGGAGTCACCTTTTGGCTGTTGCAAATACAACATGCTCAGAGGTCCCCTCAGGCTTATGTTCCTGTTCCGGTTATGTCTTGCTGTGCAACAAATGACCCCAAAACTTAGCGGCTTAAAACAATCATCTATTATGACTATGAATTCTATGGGTCAGGAATTCCCATAAGGATAACTTGTCTCTGCTCCATTAGCTTCAGCTGGAAAACTCAAAGACTGAGGTAATTCAAAGGCTGGCGACTGGGATCATCAGAAGGCTCGTTCACTCATGTATCTGGCAGTTGGTTGATGTCAGTTGTCAGCTTGTACCTTTGTGGGGCTGATAACGGGAATGCCTCTTTGTGTAGCCTGGGCTTTCTCCCAAGGTTTTAAAGTCAGATGCCCGAGAGAGAGCCAGGTGGAAGCTCTGTCACCTTTTCTATCTACCCTCAGAAGTCATAGGGCATCACTTCAACCACAGTCTATACATTGAGACAGTCACCAAGACACATAGGGATTTAAGACAAGAGGAAATAAACTTCTCTGGATGGGGAAGTGGCAAGGTTCTGGAAGGGCATATAAGACCAGAAATATTTTTTCAGTCATTTTTGGAAAATACTGTCTGCCAAAGTTCCATGCTCCTTGTTTCATTTAGTAGCTCATTCAGTTATTTCTCTGACTGGTTTTCTTTTTCCAATTCTCTTTTGCAAAGCTCTTGCCAGATATTGCCTTAAGTGGGTATCTGCTAGGGGTGTTGCTGGATCACAGATTCCTTGAGCCTTGATTCATGGGATAGACCTTCTATTGGCTACAGCAGCCTGGACCCAGTTGTTAGGGTCTTGAGGATGAGAGTCTCTACCAGATATGCCAGGTACTGGCCTGACTTGGGGAGATGAGGGCTGGGAGACCAGAGAAGGGTCACCAAGATTTTCCAGTTGAAAAGTTACTTTGGCTGTTCCTGAAGTCCCCCGGGCGATGGGTGGGGGTTTGGGGAATTAGATTCCAGGGTACAAACTGGGGCAGAGTGATCAAACTTCTTCTTTCCAGCCCCCAAAACCAGTTTGGAGATGGACCAAGTAAGATTTTAATATGTATATAACTGGAACTCTCATCCAAAAGCTAGAAATGGAATCTTTGTTTCTTTTCTATTTTGAGAAGTTCAGAGAAGTCCTAATGACCTCTCCTTAGGTCCACAGTAATGGAAAAAGGACAAATTTCCCACCAAAACAGATTCATGTGAGACTGGTTAGATACACCAGTGGTGAGGCTGTTTGAAGAAGAGATAGGATACAGGATTTGAAGTCTAGTGGCTTGGGTTGTATGACCTTGGGCCATTCACGTAACTTCTCTGATTTTGTTTCTTCATCTGTAAAATGAGGATGCTAAGAATACAGTCAACCCTCTGTATCTGTATCCATGTGTTCTGCATCTGTGGATTCAACCAACCACAGACTGAAAATATACAAGAAAAAAATTTTCAGAAGGTTCCAAAAGGCAAAACTTGAATTTGCCATGTACCGGCAACTGTTTACATAGCACTTACATTGTATTAGGTAGTGTAAGTAATCTAGAGATGATTTAAAGTACATGGAAGGATGTGCATAGGTTATAATGCAAACACCATACCATTTTATATATGGGACTTGAGCAACTGCAGATTTTGATATCCACAATTGTTCCTGGAACGAGTACTCGACAGATAGGGACCACTGTATTATCCCCCTTCCCTCTTAGGGAGATGAGGAAGGTCACATGAGGCCCTGTTTTGTTAACTGCTAGTGAATGCTAGTTCTTATTGCTATTATTATTGTTGCTTCAGTTATTGTGGTTATTTTTTTTTTTTTTACATCTTTATTGGAGTATAATTGCTTTACAATGGTGTGCTAGTTTCTGCTTTATAACAAAGTGAATCAGTTATATATATACATATGTTCCCATATCTCTTCCCTCTTGTGTCTCCCTCCCTCCCACCCTCCCTATCCCACCCCCCCAGGCAGTCACAAAGCACCAAGCTGATCTCCCTGTGCTATGCAGCTGCTTCCCACTAGCTATCTACCTTACGTTTGGTAGTGTATATATGTCCATGCCTCTCTCTCACTTTGTCTATTGTGGTTATTTTTAATAATAATTTAGGTAACTGGAGAAGCTTCGTGTTACCTTTATCCTCAACTTGTTCTTTGCTTTTTTCCTCTTTCCTCTTTCTTTGAACCCTGGAGAATATGATAGGTGATTTTTTTGGCACCTGAAACCTGTGCCCTGTGCTATGCAGCTGCTTCCCACTAGCTATCTACCTTACGTTTGGTAGTGTATATATGTCCATGCCTCTCTCTCACTTTGTCTATTGTGGTTATTTTTAATAATAATTTAGGTAACTGGAGAAGCTTCGTGTTACCTTTATCCTCAACTTGTTCTTTGCTTTTTTCCTCTTTCCTCTTTCTTTGAACCCTGGAGAATATGATAGGTGATTTTTTTGGCACCTGAAAGGCAGTGCTAAAAACAGTTGTGGTTTCCAAATTTGGACTGCCACTTAAGAATTTTCAGTTTTCTGAGCAGTGGGTGAATTCTGGTTATGTGAAAATCTACGTGATGCATTTGAAAGCCTAACAGAGACAATGTTTGGACAACCCACTCCTTTGCATGATCCACACACTGTCTCCCTTCCATTAGAATGAGGATAATCATCTGTACTTTGGGAGATGAGTGAAAGAGTTGAGAATCTCTCAATGAGGGCAAGAGTCAGACGGGAAAGTGAGAGATGTTCAGGATACAGTGCAGATGGTATAGCATGGA